AAAAAAAAAAAAAAAAAAAAAAAAAAAAAAAAACTACATAAATAATATTAAAATTCTCTCTCTCTCTCTTTAAAAAAAAAGTCTACTACAATTAGAAAAATCACCATTTTACCACTATCATAGAAATAATTAATTCACACAGAACCATTAATGGATACTAAAACTAGTGGGTGAAAGTATGATGAATAATAGGATATTTACATTTTTTCAAAGTATCAGAAATTATTAATTACAAAAGGAAAATGGTAGCTCAACAGTGGAGAAAACTGGCAAATCACTTTAAGTGGTCAAAGTTAACATCATCAGTAATGGGCTAAAAATAACACAATAAGCCCTTATATGGTGTACTGAGCACACAATGTCACTTATTCCTGCAAAAATGCTTAAACCAGATCTAATCATGCAAAACATCAGACAAACCAAAATTAAGGAATATTCCACAAAATGTCTCATTTGTGCTATTACAAAAATGTCAGTGTTATGAAACAACGAGAAACTGTTCCAGATTAAAGGAGACTGAAGAGACAAGCTCACTAAATTCAACAATTAATCAACACATGAACCTTTCCTACATCATGGAAGGAAAAATGTGCTCTAAATGATATTAACAGAACAATTGGCAAAAAATTGGAATATGGACTATCTAGTTAGATAATATTTATCTATGTTAAGATTTGCTGAATTGAAATCTGTACTGTGTATAAGTTGTTGTTGTTCTTAGGAAATCAAACAGAAATATTTAGTAGTAAAGAGTTATGAGCAACCTATTCTCAATTAGCTGAGAAAGATATTAGATAAATAGATAAGAGACAAGACAAAGAAAGTGGCTTGTGCGGGTATGTGTATGTGTGCGTGTGTGTGTACGTGTGCATGTGTATGTGGTGCTGGGGATTGAACTTGGGTCATGCATGTGCTAGACAAGTGTTCCAACACTGAACTACATCCCAGACTCAAGAGTGGAAAAATATTACTAATTGGTTAATTTGGGTAAAAGGTGTAGGGAATCTCCTTCTATTAGCCTTACATCATAACTTTTCTATAATTTTGACATTATAAAAAAAATTCTGAAAAATGGTGGACTGACCACATGAGATTTTTCTTTTCCATTTCAAATTTACTAAAATGACATCATATCCTCCTCCTCCTGATGGCATTAACCTTCAGGGATGATATAATAAGATCCTGTCACAAAATAAAAAATAAAAAGGCTAGGGATACAGCTTAGTGGAAAAGCACCCTGGGTTCAATTCCAAGTTTAAATTAAAAAAAGATAAAAATAAATCTAAAACATTCAGGACTCATAAATATGCCTCTTACATATGTAGTAAATAGTTGTTTATCATTAAATACTTGAATCAATAAAAGTATTGATAATTAGAAATTATCAAGTGAAAATCTTCTGTCCTTTTATTTTTTTCAGTACTAGGGATTGAACTCATGGGTACTCTACCCTGAGCTACATCTCCAGACCTTTTTATTTTTTAATTTTGAGAGAGGGTTTTGCTGAGGTTGGCCTTGAACTTGTGATCATTCTGCATCAGCCTCCTGTGTAGCTGGGATTACAGCTGTGTGCCACCGTGCCTAACCCTCTGGAAGGGAAATAAACAGGGAGTAGGAATGGCAAATTTGATGTACTGTCCCTTTAACTTCACATTCTATGTAGGCCACCAATTTGACCAAGGCTCCTGTCTCTGATGCTCCAACAACAGAATGAAAAAACTTGAATAAGCAGGTGATATCAGGATACTTCCCTATCATCTCATAGAAGACTTTATAAAGTGAAGTCTTCCTCTCTGCCTCACCTACAAAGAAATTAATTCAAAGGCTCAGACCTTTGGATGCTAGGGATTGAACCCAGGGCCTTGCACATGCTAGGCAAGTGTTGTTCTACCAAGCTACACCCTCAGCCCTTACCAGTGTTTAAGTGATTTACAGGGTAGGAAAATCCCAGTTTGTTTATGGTGATGCAGGCCCATCTAGTAAAAGTAGTAGGGTTACAGCAGCCAGGAGAGGGTGGAGCAAGGGAAATTGGTCTGTTTCCCAAAGGGGAGTGTTTTTCTGAGAGAGGTCCAGAAGAGCACCTCTTTATTTGAAAACAGCCCCATGGTGTAATGCTGGGACCCAGAAGGAATGGGGGCAAGAAGAGTGGAAAGGGTTGGAATAGGGTTATTAAGGGATTTCTAGGGTCCATCACTGGGATCTTTGTATAAATCTTACCTGGAAGGTGAATAGTAGAATAGAACTTTGGTGGAATTAGAGGTCAGAGAGTGCCTATTGGAAGACTGTTTAATATATAGATTGTCCTTTATAATCTTTGTGCTTTTATACTTTCCTGATCACCTCTTCTCCTACCCAATACAGCTTTTGCTTAGCATCCATCTACACTTATGTTCATTCACATGGTCCCATTCTACCTGGAAGATCCTTTTCCTCAATTTCTGTGCTTTTGGACAATTCATCATTTAAGACCTAAATAAATTCTCATATCTCCTGCAAAGTCTCCCCTAGCTTCCTATTTTTATAGTCATTCAAAATCATTTATTCATTCACTCCATAAATATTTATTAAACCTCTATTATGTATGAGGAACAGCTAGGCATCGTGAGTACAATACAGATCTAATATTTACCAAGTTCAACATTCCCCTATAAAGTTAAAATGCTTAGCATGGTTAACAGCATCTTCAATTATCTGGCCTGTAACTAGTTTTCAAGGTCTGCCTCCTAGCACCTCTCCATTTTACCCTTCATCTATATCTAAGTGCTTGGAATTCACTTAATATGGTTCTCAAGGTCTCTGTTCTGTCTGTACTATATTCCCTTCTTGTTTACTTGATGAACTTTAGTCATCCTTTTAACACTCAGTTTAGAAGCATTTCCTCTGTGACGTCTTCTTTAAAGGATCCCCATATTCTTATTCCAAACCCAATAGTATGAGGTACTGCCTCCTTTGCAGTTGCATAAGTCCATATTTAATCATATATTATTTTTTGTTTGCATACTTATCTTCCTAATTAGATAGTAGAGGCCTTCTTTATTCATCTTTTAACCCTGGTCAGCATCATAAAGCCTGGCACACAACTGTGTGCTTAATATATGTTGGCTAAATGAGCAAATGAATGAATAAGAATACATTTATTTGATATTAAATGACAGAAAAATGAAGGGAATGGATGTCTTTGCTCCAAAATTTTAATTAGGGTAAGTGTTGACCTTGTTGATAGGATAAATCTCTAACCAAAGGTAGGAAAGGAAGTAGCTACAAACTGATCAGTGGAAGTGGCTAGGAAAACAAGTGGCCCTTCTAACCCTCTATTCTACATTACCCTTACTTGTTTCTTCAGTTATGTCCTTTTTTTTGTTCCGAAAGGGATGTTGATATCCCAATAGATATAAGTTGAAGAAGGCCATCTTGGTTCCTCCTTGTCCTCTTCTGGAATGTCCAGCCTGGAGCACTGTTTGGTAACCATAGTAATGTCCTGAAGAATTATTGTAATCGACACTTCCTTTGTCTAATCAGGCACAGAATTCTTGGGTTCACATTAGAGTTGGAGGAAAATGGAAGAACCAAGAGTCAATATCTTTTTCTTTGTCCTAGTCTCATACTGTAAGCCTCAGAAAGCAGTGAATAGAAAGAATAATAACTTGGGTTCAAATGTTAGTTTTGTCATACTCTAAGTGTCTGCCTTTGTATAGATTAATCAAGCCTCAGTTTTTAATTTTAATTTTAAAAAATGGCAATGATGATATCAGTTATAAAAATGAAATAATATATACAAACTCCTTACCACAAGGTTCAGCATGTAATAGAAACTTAACAGAGAGTATTTAAATCTAAATATGATATTTCCAATGAATCTTTATTTTATCAGTGGTGTGTCAGCTGATGCTGACTTTCAAGAGCTTGTCAAATTTTCATTAATTTTGCAAGCTTTTTAAAAATGTTATTATTAAAAGTTGAATGATCTAAACTTAAAAAATTGAATGTTATATTAAAAAGTAAAGGTAGCAAATATTAAAAACTTATCATTTTCTAATTGTTTTACTATTATCTATAATCTTGAGTTTATTTACTTTTATTATATCTGTATATTCTGCTTTTTTTTCATACTTTATTCTCTTTGTTTTTCAGCTTAGGAAGTTTCTATTGACATATTTTCAAGCCAACTGATTCTTTCTGTGTCATCTCCAGTCTATTGATGAATCCACCAAAGACATTGTTTTCTGATGATTTCTAGCCTTTTCTTTTCTTTCTTTATCCTTTTCCTTTTATTTTATTTTTTATATTTTTTTTGAGTACTGGGAATTGAACCTACGACTGTTCTATATCCTGAGCCCTTTTGTTTTATTTTTGAGACAGGGTTTTGCTAAATTGCCCAGGTTGGTTTTGAACTTGCTATCCTCATGCATGTCTTCTAACAACTGGTATTACAGGTGTGTGTCACCATGCCCAGCTTGATTCTTAGTTTTCATGTCTCTGCTAACATTACCCACCTGTTCTTGTGTGTTGTCCACTTTTTCCATTAGGGTCTTTAACATATTAATCATAGTTATTTTAAATTCTCAGTCGGATAATTCCAAAATTTCTGCCGTATGTGTGTCAGGTTGTAAGGAAAATATGAAGTGAAACAGGAAGGTTATAGGAGACTGCAGTTGGGTAATTCCTTCTTCCCACATTAGATAGGATCTGGTAAAAACCCAAGTTTCTGTTAAAATTTTTTTCTTGAGAAGCATATCTTTGTTAAGAACAGGATGCCATACTGCAAAATGACTACTTTCCCCTCTCCCTACTGGAAGCATGAAGGGATTTTTCTTCAGTCTTCAGTGAGACTCCAGGTAAAATATATAAAAACATGAGTGACCAGTTAAGGATGGGCCCCCAAGAGTTTTTATTTATTTATTTATTTATTTATATTTTTAAAAAATATTTATTGTTCAGTTTTCGGCAGACACAACATCTTTATTTTTATTTTATGTGGTGCTGAGGATCGAACCCAGCACCCTGTGTATGCCAGGCAAGCGCGTTACTGCTTGAGTCACATTCCCAGCCCCAAGAGTTTTTTTTTTTTTTTTTAAATCTCTCTAGCTAGTCTGTGTTTAGTTGTCAGCAATTAGTCAATTATGCTATAAGTATTCCTATGAGTTACTGGTTCCCATAGTAATTTTTGCTCTTAATAGTCATGACTTTCTGTTCTAACTTTTTTTCTGATTTCATCTGTTTTTCCATCTTGGGGGATGAGGTTTATACTATAAAACCTTAATTCTCTAATGAGTCAAGAAGGATTGTTAAATTTATCTTTTTTCTTGTAAGGATGGACCCGATCACTTTTAATTTTTTTTTTTTTTTTCAGTTACTAGGGATTGAACCCAGGGCCCAATATATGTCAGGCAAGTGCTCTAACACTGAGCTCCATCCCTAGTCTGGGAGTGATGATTTCTAAGCTCTTTCCATATCAAGACAAGAAACTAGAAAGCCTAAACTATTGAATTGGTCTTGAGGAAATACTGTGTGATGATGCATACACCTCTCTTCAATTTCATTTTCAGGGATGCTGCATACTGATAGATTGAAATCAGCCATGGTGGGAGAATGTACACCACAGAAATTGACAATGTTAGATAAGGCTGGACTTAAGAAACCTGAGAAAGGGCTGGGGTTGTGGCTCAGCAGTAGAGCATTCGCCTAGCATGCGTGAGGCCCTGGGTTCGATCCTCAGCACCACATAAAAACAAACAAATAAATAAATAAAACAAAGGTATTGTGTCCAACTACAACTAACTGTTTTTAAAAAATAAAGTTGAGAAAATGTTAATAATGAATATTAAAAGTGTATCATATCTATAGCTATTACACTGTCCAATAGCAACATTGAAACTCTTCCAGTGTTCAAAAATTATACAATTCAGCAAAGATGTTTCTCAAGTCGCTGGCAAATTAATGAAGTTCCTATACAAGTCTCATTTTCATTTCCATCTTATTCACGCAAATGAAAATATCAGTGAATAGTCCAAAACTATACTCACTTGTTAAATGCAACTGTAGGTTGACTTGTGATTCAAGAGCTTGGCAAAACTGAAAGCATTTTGTGAGATTCAGTTGGTTATAGGAAATTTATAATAAAGATTATACATTTTATGTTAAGTTGCATACTATATATCCTTTGTATTAGTTAAAAWTTTTTTTTGGGTGGGGGATACTGGGGATTGAACTCAGGGGCACTCAACTACTGACCCACTTCTCCAGCCCTATTTTGTATTTTAGTTAGAGACAGGGTCTCAGTTGCTTAGCACCTCGCTTTTGCTGAGGGYGGCTTTGAACTCGAGATCCTCCAGTCTCAGTGTCCCAAGCCTCTAGGATTACACGTGTACACCACTGCCCCCGGCATATATTAGTAAATTTTTAAAAGAAGAAAAGAGAAATTCCTCTGGTTTAAGATTTTTATCAATTGTCCTTTAAAAGCAATGTATGGAATCCTCAGTACCACCATTAGCTAACATTATTTAGAGAATCAATATGCACTAAACACCTCCTATATGCCTGACCCACATCCTGTTGGTGTTTTTTGAAGAAACCGAGGTGACATTCCAGATCACGAGCTAGGTGAAAGAATAGCTGGGATTTTTTAAGATATTACACTAAGTAAAAGAAGCCAGTCACAAAAAAGACAAATCTGTATGATTCCACTTATATGAAGCATCCAAGTAGTTAGAGTCAAAAAGAATGAAGAATGCTAGTTGCCAGAGGCTGATAGGAAAGTAATGGGGAGCTGTTCAAGGGAGTTTCAGTTTTGTTTTTTTTWAAATATATTTTCATTAGAGATAGGGTCTCGCTGAGTTGCTAAGTGCCTCGCTAAATTGTTGAGACTGGCTTTGAACTCCTGATCCTCCTGTCTAAGCCTCCTGAGCTGCTTGGCAATTTGTTTTGCAAGATGAAAAGGTAGTTCTAGAGAGCTGTTGCATGACAGTGTGAATACAAATGAAGCTACTAAACTATACATTTACAAATAGTTGTACGAAAGATGGTAGGGATGGAGGAAAAGCTGGGATTGAATCCAAGTTTATAAAAAACTCATTCTTTTGGTAGTTATCACTACTTTTTCTTTCTTTTTTTTTTTTTTTTTTTGTCGTACTGAGGATTCCATTCAGGGACTCGAGGATGTTAGCAAAGTGTTCGAACGCTGACATACACCCTCAGCCCTTTTTGAGGCAGAGTTTCACTCAATTGCCCGTGCTGGCCTCGAACTTGCCATTCTGCCTCAGCTTCCAGAGTAGCTAGGATTACAGGACTGCGCCACCGTGCCCAGAGTGTTTGCTATATGGTTTCATCTTATTGGTTCGAGATACTATAGGGCCACTATTACTTTTTTCATTTTTCTGACCTATTTTCTCTACCAAGCTCTCCATCTGCCATATTTCATATCGTCACGTTCGCCCAGAGGGAAGTTCTGGGCGTGGGGAGAGCGGCAGCAATGCTGCGCGAGAGCCTATGCCTCTCGGCGCCGAACTGTTGCCTGGCAGCTCAGCCCAGGCCGCGAAGGCTCAACCACGTTCTCGCGGGGAGAGACGTGGTTTTCACACGAGAATTTATAATTCCACCCTACTTCCGTAGCGTCACGTGATTCGCGCCTGCGTCTTCGCCTTAAGGTCTCTTCTGGTATCCGACTGGCTGTTAACTTGGCTACAGTGAGTCGCGAGGTCCATTTCGGAAGTAGACGCTTTGACTTTCGCTTCCTTAGCGGAAGCTTGTCCGACCTGGCGGTCGATTCGTAGCGGAAGTTCGTCACGTCGCAGTTGTCTCCGCACAGCGGATGTGTGTCGCCCCTGAGGTGACGCTGGGAAGTGCTTGCAGCCTCCGCCGCTGCCTTCTAGTTGAAGCGCTATGGAGGGAGAGAGGAAGAACAACAACAAACGGTGGTATTTTACTCGAGAACAGCTGGAAAATAGCCCATCCCGTCGTTTTGGCCTGGACCCAGATAAAGAACTTTCTTATCGCCAGCAGGCGGCCAATCTTCTTCAGGACATGGGACAACGTCTTAACGTGTATCCTTGTGGCCTAGGCCTTCGGCCTTAGAGTCGGTTCTGCACTGCCCCGGCATTCAGGCCTCAGGCTCTGGCGGGGAAGGAAGGGGGTAAGAAGGTCGGCCAGAAGCTGGATGTCTAGTGGGGAGAGCCCACGATGGGGCAGACCGAAGCTGTTCATGCGAGGGAAGCGAGGCGGAGTCAATTTCCCGCTCGCTCACCGGTGCCACCAACCTTGCCGGGAATTCGTATCTTTTCCTGGCTTTGTGTTTTAGCCAATCCTTCTTAGGCCTTCTTCACTGTGTTCTGACCTGGTTTCGTGACTTTGAGATTCTCCTTTCTTCTGTGTCTTAGGAGTCTGGTAGAAGTTTCACTGTTGACGTCTGCCCCCCAAACTTAGTGTGTAAAAAATAGTTTCGGGACAAAGCTGAACTAGGCAGGGTCCCATCGGTGGTTCAAAATCCGTTCCTCCTAATTCATAGCTATGCAAATAACCTGTTAAGTTCTTGGCTGTCTTGCCTGTAAAATGGACACCTCTTGCATTTGATTCTGTGCCCCCCAAAATGCTTAGCATTCAGACGTTTAAATAGTAGTTGTTTGCTAGAGTGTTACAGAATTTCAAAGTTAGAAAAGTCAATTTAGGTTTGGAGGGATGTAGACCTATGGATCTAATGTTTAGTTTACCAAATGTTGTGCCCTTAAGTTACTCAGGGTACTGGCGAGTATTCGTTTTCGTCATGTTTCAAAGATTAGGCAATTTATTTTTATTTGTCAGAAAATTTACTCATTTTGTGGCCGAGAAAACTAATATAGTTTTAAAGTTATTTTCACTCTGCTTTAATTTTTTTTTCTTGGTGAAGCTTCTGTTTATGCAGCTTTCACTTAAATTTGTTGCAGACTGTGATGTTTGTGCCTTAAGGATGTGTTTGTTTTTTCAAAATAGGTGTCCTCTTTATTGCCAGTTTGTTTCCTAAGCTTCCAGTCTGTGGAATTAAACCCCCAACCCCCTAGTTCTATTTCAGTGTATCCTTAAAATTCCTTTTGTAGTATTTAGGTTGTTGCCATTATGGGACTGTGTCATCTTTATACTGCACACTGAGCACATTGTCTGCTGAGGTCTTTATTTTTTTGTGCTGCTAGAGATCAAATCTAGGGCTTCACCCAAGCTAGTAGGCAAGTGCTCTACCGATGTGCTCCATTCCCAGACCTGCTGACATCTTTAGAAGTAAAGCACTTAAAAATTTTTCTATATAGCTCAGAGGTAGAGTGCAGGCAAGTGCAGTGTTTGAAAAATGTTTTATTTTTAGTAAATAAATATCAATTCATTTCACAGTGTTTCTAGCCATCAGGATCACCAGGTGAAAATGCAGGGAGAAGTGGAATTGAAAGGTGAGAGATAGTGGAAATATGCCCAGGGGCCAAATTAGGGAAGACCTAGTAAAACTTGTTAAAGAGATGACCTGAGGTATCAGATCATCATTACAGGATTTGTAGAAGGTAAATGACCGAAAGTTCTAAAAATTAGTTTTGTTATAAATCTTGATTCACATATCCTGAGAAGTTTATTTTGTTGTTGTTTGTTCATTCAGTAAATTTATATTAAATACCCCTTATGTGGAAGGAATTATGCTGTCAATAGGCAGTTAATAATTTTGGCAAAAGAAAACAACACCTCCTTTTTATTTGGAAAGGTAAGTATGATTTTCACTTAGGACTGTGCTTGGCCATTTGGTCTTTTTGTCGGGGGAGACAGATTATATTTTGGGAATTATGCTGCCTATCTACTTGATTTGGACCTTAACTTGAGTACTTCAGCTCACAATTGACTATCAACACAGCTATAGTATACATGCATCGATTCTACATGATTCAGTCTTTTACACAGTTTCATCGAAATGTAAGTATAATTTCTTGTATGGTGTAATCTTTTGTGATTGATTTCAGCTCCCTGTTTTTGGTAGGTCTTTGCTACTGAATTGGCAGTTGAATTTTAGTATGTAGCATTGATCCCTTTCATTATGTGTCAAACTACTGTTCCGAATTCAGCCTTACAATTTGCTGTGAAGTGTCTAGTTTTCTGGTAGGGTAAGTTTATCCATAGAGTAGGTGGATTCTCTCATAAAGAAATAGATAATTGAACACTTAGTAAATTAATGTTTTGAGTTAGAGGAGTAGCATTAAAGGGAAAATCATGCTTAAATTAAGTAAAATGTTTAAAGAGGTAAATATGAATATGGTCAGAAAGGCAAATGAATATAAGTTATTTAAATTCTTTCAGACGTCTTTGATAAAATTTTGATGAATGATCGTTGGAGGCAAAGGTACATTATGTGATAATCACTGGGAAATGACTCAAGAACAAGAGAAAGAAAATAATAGTAATGAAAGAACTTTTTTCTTGGACAGAATTGTAAATACAGTAGTGCTATTTTCAATTTTGCTACCTGAAATGGTATTATATAACATTATTATAAATGACTTGAAAGTGAATACATAGTGATATCCCTGTTGCAGGTAAGACTATATTTGTTTAATGAACTCCCTAGATAATAGGAATAATCTTGATCAGCACTTTGGATTTGTGAGTCAAATATTTTATTATTGAACTCAGTGCCTCACACGTACTGGGCAAGTGCTCTAACACTGAGCCACAATCCTAGACTCCCTTTTTTTCCTTTTCTTTTTACATTGTTCTGGGGATTAAACCCAGGGATGCTTTACCCCCACCCTATATCCTCAGCCCTTTTTATATTTTGCTTTGAGACAGAGTCTCACTAAATTACCAGTGCTGACCTTAAACTCCTGCTTTATCCTTCCAAGTAGCAAGTAACTAGGATTATAGATGTATGCTACTGTACCTGGCTCATTAGTTTCGCATCTTTTTAAATGGCTATGTAATGTTTGCTTACCATCATTTATTGAACTAGCTTAGCTCCTTATTGGTGGACATTCAGGTTGTTTCTCATTTATTATAAATGTTACATGGGATGGTCTTACAATTATAAAGTACACTTATGTGAGATTTTAATGTAAATTCCAATAGGTAGAATTTCTAGGCCCAAAGGTATGCATATGTACAAGTTTTGAAAGATAGGACTGTTCAGGAAAGGGTCTTTTTTCTACATTCAAACTAACCACAAATATTCATTACTTCTTAAAAAATATTTGGTTTTTTCGGGCTGGGGATGTGGCTCAAGCGGTAGCGCGCTCACCTGGCATGTGTGTGACCCAGGTTCGATCCTCAGCACCACATACAAACAAAGGTGTTGTGTCCGCTGAAAACTAAAAAATAAATATTAAAAAAGATTCTCTTTAAAAAAAATTTGATTTTTAGTTACAGGTGGACACAGTGTCTTTATTTTATATTTATATGGTGCTGAGGTTTGAACCCAGTGCTTCACATATGCTAGGTGAGCTCTCTACCTCTGAGCCACAACCTCAGCCCCCAAATATTCATTAATTTAAGAAATTTTTATTGAGTTCTAATTGCTTGTCAAGTTCAAGGGATACATTGGTGAATGAGAAAGATAGGGTCTGAAATTATTATTATTTAAAAAAAAAATTTCTGGTTGTAGGTAGACACAATACCTTTATTTTTATGTGGTACTGAGGATCCAACCCCCTGCCTCACCCATGTTAGATGAGCTCTGTACCACTTAGCAACAACCCCAGCCCCTGAAATTATTTTCTTAATTTACTTTTCTTCAATTAATAAAGTTGAGCTTCTTTTGCCTTTGGTTCTGGTTCTCATGATATTGAAATAAATGAATGCGGGCTGGGGATGTGGCTCAAGTGGTATCGTGCTCGCCTGGCATGCTTGGGGCCCGGGTTCGATCCTCAGCACCACATACAAACAAAGTGTATGTCCGCCAAATACTAAAAAATAAATATTAAAATTCTCTCTCTCTCCCTCTCCCTCTCTCTCACTCTCTCTTTAAAAAAGAAAGAAAGAAATGAATGGAAAACTGTTGATACCCTTTGCCCCTTTTTTAGTGTTCTGGTGTGTGTTATCTCTCTTTTTTTGGTGGTACCTGGGATTTAACCCAGGGGCTCTCTCCCACTGAGCTACACTCTAAGCTCTGAGGCTTGTCCTTGAACTTGCCATCCTCCTGCATCAGCCTCCCCTGTTTCTGGGGTTAGAGATGTGCTCCATCATGTCCAACTTGTTCTTACTTTATATGAGCTCTTTATGTATTAGAGCTATTGTCAGATGATGTGAATATTTTTTTCTCATTTTGTTGTATTTCTTTTATAGTGTTTTGGATCCTAGTGCCCATGCCTTTCTTTTGTTTTTGTTCTTTTTTGATTTGCTGCCTGGAATTGAACGTGGGGTGCTTAACCACTGAGCCACATCCCTGACCCCTGCTTTTTTTTTTTTTTTTTTATTGTTGGTCGTTCAAAACATTACATAGTTCCTCATACATCATATTTCACAGTTTGATTCAAATGAGTTATGAAC